TTCTTTTCTTGCAAACATTTCATTACCCAGCTAGGTAACATCTTCAGTGCTAGAATGGGATCAGATGTTTCTTTCCCTAATCAGTGGCCTCTTTGACACTTGAAATCCTAAAGAAATCTTCCTCATTTTGCTGCCCCCTGATGTGGTGACTATTACTGGAATTCCTAGCTAGGAAAAGTGCTATAAAAGTCATATTTGCTGCTACTGTTCCCCATTCATTTAAAAAAAAAATTTGTTCTGTTTCTTAGATATAAACCAAGGGAAAAGCTTAAGATCAACTTTGGCACTCCAGAATTTCTTGCTCCTGAAGTTGTGAACTATGATTTTGTTTCTTTTCCTACTGACATGTGGAGTATAGGTGTCATTACCTACATGTTGTAAGTTGAACTAAAATCTAAATATTAAGATTGTGAGTGCTTCCAGATGAGATTTTTATTGTGCAGTCACAGAATTTTATCGGGTCACAGGATTTTATTGGGTGAAAGCACATAATGACACCTTCTAGTGACAGGCCGCCCACATTTTCTGAGAACATCTTCCATTTTCTTTCATACCACAGAGAACCTGTTAGGTAGGAAAGATTGAAGACATTATACATTGTAATTGGTAATATAGACTTCCCATCTGGAATTTCCTTAAGTTTCTTTTTGTGTCAAGCTGATGAAGTTCAAAAAAACATGGTGGATTTCTTGGGCCAATTTAAATATGACAAAATAGTATACAGAGATGAAGTTTGATGATAAATAGAGCAGAAGAGAAAAAGCTGACTGATGTTGAAGCCAGGAATCCTAAAATCACAGTCTTTAGGCAGATTGAGGGTGAGGGCTGTGGAGGCCAACCATATGATGAGGGGAGAGGAGATCATTCCAGAGGGCAGGCACTTTACTGATTACAGAAAGGCCTTTGATTATATTAACCACGTCAAGATATAGAATCTTGTTGGGAGAATGGGAATCCCAGACCATCCCATTGTCTTTATATAAAACTTATAGGAAACCACAATCCAGATGGAGTATGGATTGAAACAGACTGGCTTTAGTTGGCAAAGAAAGCTGAATACTCTCTCATCATTTTTTCAATTTATATGTTGAATATATATTGAGGGGGCTGGATTGGAAGAAAATGACTGTGGTTTTAAAACTGGAGGAAGAAACATCAATAACCGTGCTATGCTGATGGCATTACTGTGATACAGTAGCTGAAAATGCAAATGATCTGCAAGCTCTAGTAAGGAAAGTCAAGGAGCACAGTGAAAAAAAATGGGACTAAGATTAAACAGAAAGAAGAGCAAACTAATGACGACAGATACAACAACCAGCCTTAGAACTGAAATGAAGATATGGTGGATAGCTTATGCTTTTAGGATCTACTATCAACTGTAAAACAAATCGGCAATCAAGAAATATACTCCAGACTCGTATTTGATAGAGTAGCAATGAAGGGCTCAATGAAGTTGCCCAGAGTCCCCTACTGTGGGGGAGATGGGCGGGGGAGAAATCCAATAAATAAATAAATAAATAAAATAAAAATAAATAAATAAAGGGCTTGGAAAACATATTTAGATGCCATGATGTGTCTTTATCTACAAAGATCAGAATCATGCAACCCATGGTACCCCCTGTGACTCTCTATGGAAACAAAAGTTGGACTTTGAAGAAGCAGTATAGAAAGATGCTTTTGAATGTTGGTGTTGGAGAAGACTCTCGATAAAGCCAAGAAAACAAACAAATGGATCATAGAACAAATCAACCCAAAGTTCTCACTCAAAGCACAAATGACCAAATCTTTGTATTTTGGAGACATGTAAAGATCTAGCCCTTCTGAGAAGTCTATAATGTAGGAAAAGGCAGAAAGAGAAGGAGATGACCAGCAGCAAGGTGGATAGATTTCATACAGAAGCAATGGGTACCCTGTTAGAAGATGTGAATGACCAGGTTGGGGACAGATTATCCTGAAGAAAGTCTATCTATGTGTTTACACATAGTTGATACCAACCTCATGGCACATAAACAACCAATTAATTCCAGCACTAGAGATTTCTAATACAAATTTCTGAGAAACATGAATGGAAATGTGATATTGTGTCCTGAAATGTTGCCTGTGGGGTTCCCATAGGCATTTGGTTAGAAAACCACGGGAACACAAGCCTAGATAGATGTTTGGGATATACAGCAATTTGTTAAAGTTTTTAATCCCTTATGATATGCTTAAAGTACATGGAATTTTTTTTTCAATAGGCTTACTGGATTATCTCCTTTTCTGGGTGATGATGATAATGAGACTTTGAACAACATCCTGGCTTGTAGGTGGGACTTTGAAGATGAAGAATTTGATGGTGTGTCTGAAGAAGCCAAAGATTTCATCTCTAAGCTTCTTATCAAGGAAAAGAGGTAATTACACACTTATGTTTTGTCTTCAATATATTGTCTGCCCACTTTCATTTGAGATACACAAATATAATAATAGTTTGACAGAATCACATGAAGACCATTAAAGTGTACAAGAAATAAAACAAACTCATGATGTGTGAAAAATGAAAGCTGTTTGCATTTTATTAATTAAGTAGATTAGGATAAAGCACATATTAAGAGTTATATTCCAGTTTAGATATTATTATCAGTTATTTTGACTAATAATTCTGAAGGCTTGGTGGATAACCATTTGTCAGTGACGACGATGATGATGATGTTGATGATTGAATTGTCCCAAAGAGGAACAATAGGGATACCATAAAAACTGCAGAGTTGCCTACCTGTCATAGAGAAAAGAAATTCCACAGCACAAACCACTCACTGGGGATGTATAGGCGCCAGAAGATGACACCATTTATACGGATGAAAATTAATCTAGACAGACACTTTAAATTACATACGTATCCTGAAATGGAGGCCTCGTATGGTTGGTTTTCATTCAGAATGACATTGGCCAGCTTACAAATGAAGAACTTGAACTTAAACCTATACTTTTGCCCTAACCGATAAGTTTAGGAATGCCATTTCTGGAAGTATGCTTTTTTTTTTTGTGTATTAAAACCTCAAGCTAAAGTTGTCTGTTTCCATATCAGACCATATATCACCTTAAAATACACACATACACAAGTATCAGGCTTTAATACTTAAAATGTTAAAAGTTCCTGCGTACATATCATACATAGTAACTTATTGTTTCTTCTGTTTAGCTGGAGAATAAGTGCAACTGCAGCTTTAAAACAACCTTGGTTGACCAGCCAAACACTCCATTGCAAACTGGAAGCTAAGGTTTGTAGATCTGATCAAAATTGTTTTTTGCGTTTATCTCTTTGCCTCTTTGTAGGAGGAAATGCTTATTAATTAGGCTGATCATTATAAACTAGTCTCCTTTCTATTTCAACTCTTTGAAGACCAGATTATTGCAACAGGGATGGGGGTGGGTGGGGGAAGTCACTGAAGATGTTCACACTCAGATCCCCACTAAAATGGTGTGATTATCTGGAAATGTTTGGTCCCATAAGTTATGAATGTGAACAGTTTCTTCCAAAAGATGTTCATAGGGTACTTGCCTCTGCTTGTGCAGGTACGTAACATGACAGCAGTAGTTTTTACATGAAATAAATATGAATGTAAGCCCTGGTCAGATGGTCAGATAATTTGGTCAGTTATCTTGCCTGTACTTCTTAAATGGTCAGATAACTTGCCTACATTTCTCTAGGAATGCCATTCGCATGCAAATTTCTTGTCTAGCTGATCACTTTCCTTTTCTAAAGAGGAAGGACTGAAGTAATTTGCATTTGTAAAATCTCACATCCATCTGACACCCTTGTTCAAGATATTATCTGTATAGTGAATAGATGCAAGTATATCCATTTCTCACTATATAAAGATAGCCAGTGCCTTAATAAATAAACCAACTCTGTTGCATGATTTGCCTTTTCCCAGCTGAACAGAAATAGCCATATGAACACACTGACAATTGCTGTTTGGAATGTATGATAATATGCCAGGTCTTATGATCTATTTTATCTTCCTTGCTCTTGTAGAGGAGGAATAAACGTTCTTCTCCATCTTAAGCACCTGTGGTTCCATAACATCTCTCAGAAATGGAAGGTTGGTATTAAGTTTTATATATAAGTTATTGGCCAGTGCACATTTTGTGGCCACCATGTGGAGGTCATCTCAAATACTCCCACTGCCAGTTATTGCAGCACGGTAAATCTAAGTAATTTCTTCCTACCACCACAGTGGCCAAAAGAAACACTAAAACTATGTAATGAACAGTTGCAAACTGAATCCACTAACTGCAATTATCTAGCGTCATTTTCCCATGCTCCTGCATGTGCCCGGCTTTTCGTAAATACCAGATGGATACGGCATTAGGTCAGCCTTCTGTTAGCATTGCTATCTGATTAGCGATGCTAAGGCTTGAGTTGTGCATATACATCCTTGCAAACAAGCCCCATGGAACACACTTACTTACAAGAAAAGGTATTCAGGTTTGATTTTGAGCAGGGTCACATATACTCTGTATAGGAGTAGGGGTGAAATTTGTACCAAATATTGCCACAAGCTGAATTATACAGTATATAAACATATTACAAATATGTGGGACTTCTATACATATCATTTTGTTTTGTTTTTTGCATAATTTGTCATGCCCCTAACTAGTTGTGGGTTGTGGGTTGTACAGGGCACTGAAAACCCACACTGTAATTTCAGGAAATCCTGCTGAGCAATTACTTTGAGATTTCAGCAGATACTGCCCACCTATTTTCAAGAATACTGTGGAAGTCCTAAGGTCTCAAATCTTACTCTTCAAGAAAAGTTGAGATTCTTTGGAATCTGTATTCTCTGGCCATGACCACATTCCCCAGCTCTTTTGTGTTACCCTGCAAACTGTATATTAAGCCAGTTTTGTCATGCTAAACAGCCTCTATAACTAGTAGCTTGGTTTTTTTAACTTTGAAACAGCAAAATTGTCTAGTATTTGCAGCGTAAGCATTAAAAAATAGCCTCATCTCCATATGTGTGATTGTGATGGGATCTTCCTCATAAAGACTACCCTAAGGCCAGACTCTCCAAGCTATAATGCCATCAGTCCATGCCCAAAATCATGTGTTTAAATTTGGAGGCCTTCTCTATGAGAACTTTTTGTCTTTCCATTACCAGAGATTCCATCAGTGGTTCTCCACTGCCAAGCACCCTTTAGATGTGTCAGGACCACACCTCCCAGAATTCCCAGCCAGCATGGTTGAAGGGCTTCTGGCTGGAAATTCAGGGAAGAGCAGTCCCAGCACAGATGAAGGACAGCAGAGAGCATTTTTTAAACAGATATTTGATAAATCAATGAAAAAGAACGTATTCTTTTAAAGCACTACTTTAAAGAACTTTAGAAAGTATATATATAAATACAGTTCTGGGTTTGCAAAGGCTGAGAATTCCTGCTTTATCACAACCGCTTATTGTTTTTAAATATCTTGAATATTAACTGTAAGACAGAAAAAAGAAGACATGCCACTTTTCATTCAGAGGGCTAATTTTGAACAGGCTGTGTGGTAATATGAGTCTGCACTGTGGAACTATAAATGTAATTGAATGGTTTGTCATTCAAATATTGCTTTGTAAAGACGCCTCTGCAGAGTTTCAAGGCTCCTCGTTTACAGTAGGTTCCTGTAAGTTGCACTGCATGTTTCTATGTCTAAGCCACCAAAACCACATTGTTCCTAACCGCTTCAGACATGTATTGAGTCAAATTTGTGGGAAGAACCATGATTGCTTGATCCAGACAGGGATAAGACAAAGAATTCTTACTTTTACTGGGCCTTGATCTTTGGTGCCACTTGAATGGAACTAACTGAATGAAGAAGAGGAGAGAGAACCCAGGGTGTCGATAGAAGAGAGTATATGTAGCTCAGGGTTGAACTGTGGAGGCCTTGGGGTTCTCTGAGCTTGGTTGTTTTCTTGCAAATGTTTCGTTACCTAGCTAGGTAACATCTTCAGTGCTACAGGGAGTGGGGTTTGCTCTCTGTTTATATACAGTAGCTTGCCCTGTCAGTGTTGGTGGGCGTGTTGTTTTCTCCTTGGTAGTTCCTTGATTAGGCTGTTGTTTACTCCTTGTTTCCTTTTTATTGTCTCCTTTGAATAGTGTGTAGATGTTTTTATCTCTATGTGCCTGTTGATGGCTGACTTGTCTGAAAACCAAGCTTCCAGGAATTCCCTCGCAGAACACCTCCTCACCAGTAATCACTACCCAGATAAGCAGAGATTAACACCAGAATTAACACCAAATAAACAATCAAGCAGTAAACAATACCCTAATCTATGAATTACCAAGGAGAAAGCAACACCTCCACCAACACTGAGAGGGCAAGCTACTGTATATGACCAGAGAACAAATCTCACTCCCTTCTAGCACTGAAGATGTTACCTAGCCAGGTAACGAAACATCTGCAAGAAAACAACCAAGTTCAGAGAACTCCAAGGACTCCACCATTGGCATACCTAAGTCCTGCCAGACACTGCAGCTGAAGTAGAAGGTGGTGGCAGGAGTTTTCTTCTTAGCTTTGTTGAGGATTACTATGTTATTGATTTTTTTTCCTCCCATTGCCCTCCTATTTGGACACTATGTCAGATTGTCTTTGGGGTACATGGGAATGATGGGCCTAGGTTCCTACAGAGAGAACCATCTTTGCAAATGCATATTGGGGCTAGGGGGCTGCAACAATAGCCTCTAGCCTGTCAACCCAACAGTTCGAAAACTTACGTGAGTAGATAAATGAGTACTCTCACTCTGGTGGGAGGAAAAATGCTGGTGGCGCCTTGCAAAAGGAGACGGGAGCAGTTGCCGGTAGCGCGGAAGCTGCGCTCACCCGAAAAAGGCGTGAAGCAACAGAAACCCCGCCTCCTGCGCTCGCCAGCTGGGCTCTC